TTTTTTTTTTTTTTTTTTTTGGTCTTTTCTTACAGATAAAGAAAATAGTACAACAGTAATTCTAACTAGAGTACTGTAGGTTACTCTAATGACAGTATGAACTACAGTATGTTGTCTTGCGTGACATTTATTAGGAGGTGCATTGGAAGGTCCAGCGAGGTTGCGGTTAGGCCAGATGTGGCAAAATACTGCTTTATTTCATAAATAGCAATTTTTAAAAATGTTCACAGAATTTACAAGCATTTATCCATGGCTACAGAGAAGTCCAGTCCCTCGCCATTAGTATCTGGGTAAAAAACAAGAACAAGATGGTTCACGTTATGTCTGTGTTTAAGCCCACTGGTTAATAACTTAGGCCAGTGCTTATTTTCGTTTTCTGCAGCATTCATTAATAAACTAGAAATTCCTACTTGCTTCTGAGTGGGTTGCTACTCCATTGCAGCATTACCCCCAGCACTAAGTTTGCGGATACCCAGTTGTACATGTACATGGGTGGAGAGAGGTACTAGCAGTGAGAGTTAAAGAGTCCTGCCCAGAACCACAACACTGTAACTCTGTGACTCCAGCCAGGGCTAGAAACAAGCTGGCTAAAACCAGAGTCTGGCTTACCATTAGGATGCTGTGCCTCCCACAGCGAGATGATAAGACAACAGCAAAATTACAGAGAACTCAGGAAAAAGTCTGCTTTGTGTTCTCATACTATGAAGTTTCAATAGATTTTTCAACTTTTTTCTACTTTGTTTCGATTACAGTTTTTTTTAAATACACCATTATAGGTGTAGACCATATAAATAAGTAGCCTCCCCTTACCTTCCCTCTCAAAAAATAAGTAGTTATGACAAATTGAAGCTAAAACTAACAATAATCGGTCCAAAGAGTACCTGTAGTAATTCGGCTTGAATGGTCCATTTTTGTTCACTCCAAGATACTTAGCTTGTTCTTCTGTGAGGTCAGTCAAATGGCCATCAAATGTTGGCAAGTGCAACATTGCTACATATTCATCTGAAATGCAATCATCAATGAAATGGAGATCAATGAATAAATGTTGATTGACGTCACAGTATTTGCGCAAATGACATTTCTAGAAATGCAATCATCAATGAAACAAAGATCAATAAACAAGCATTGACATCACACCATTTGAACAAATTACACAGGCACAAAGTTTCTCTCTTTTTGCAGAAGTAAAGAGCTCTAGTCAGCCTCCACCATTTTTGATGCCATCAAAATTATTGATATTGCATGGTGAAGCAAAATCTTCTTGCTTTAGTTGTGTTCCTGAAAGTTTCTTTAATTATCTTTTAGTTTCACACTGATTTCATTCACTTGAACATGTTCCTAATAAAACATAATAGCCAAAACTCTTGCATGCAAACAAAAACAAAGGTGTGGCACACCCGGGCCCTTTAAGCATTTAGATGGATACTTCAAACCAAATATAACACTTTGCAGAAAGACTCATTAGAAAATGATCTCCTTTTACACATGTCAAGCCAGTGACCTGTATAAGTTGCTACTCATCAGTTCATTATAAATAATACAATTACATTGACTATCGGGCAGAACATTGTTAACTACTCACCCATCTTCTTTGGCAGAAGGTAGACATCATGTTTATATCTCCCTGGTGGGGCCTTGTAAAGTTCAATTAAAGCTATAGCCTGCCAGGGAAACACATTTGGCTAATTTCGATTATTTTATTCACTTATTGTTTTTAGAATCATTAACTATTATGGCTTTTAACCATAGAGTGGGTTTTCATTTGAGTGTCGAAAAGTAAGTGGTTAACTACACTTACTCCACTACATGATTGACTTAAAAAAACTTCATCCAATCAAAGTAGAACTAAAACCAATCGTGGTTTGTTCGTACACATTTTCCTGCACTTTGCGTCGACAATGTGTAATTACTTTGAGTTTTCATTGGTTCATTGGATTGCCTGCGTCCTTTGTGACTGGCTAGAGTGATTACTTTGGTTTTTGTTTTACGACAACCAACGGAAAAGTGCTCTAACTAAAGACAAAGACTTAATATTTAATTATTAATAACTTCTTATTTTCAGTTTGGTTTCAAGCTTCACTCTTGGAGAATTGTTTGCTTCTGAGAATGTTCAGACAATGTCTGCAGAAAGACATCCAGGTTACACATTTTCACCCCACATGGGGTTTAATGTTTATTTCCCCCCCTTTCTTCACTTGTGCCTTAAAGAGGTATAAACACTAGTTATTTGTACCTGAGTTGTTGACGTAATGGAAACTACAAAAGAAGGAACACTAGAACAGCTGAGATTGACAAGGCGACCCTAAAACATTAAACAAAATCACAGTATCAGGTAACCTTTCTTGAAAATTGCAAAGCTAAGAAAGAGGGAATGCGATATTTTATGTAGTACCTCTGCTAACAGCACAATTCTCTTGCCATCTGGCCAGATGATATGATCTACTTGTGTTCTAACCTTCTCCCACGTCAGATCTGATGTTCTTAAACTAGCCTGAAAGACAAGCAACAAGAATGTTATTTTGAAGTCTTGTTCACTAAGCCAGTGATGAGTAGTTTATGAAATGTACATAGACTTAATAATTATTCTGACCCATACAAGTCATGTAAATTGTGGTAGAGAAAACAAAACCTGAATGAGATGATTCCATAATTGTTCAACAGCAAGTAGAAAGAAAGCTTGAAAAAAATCACGCTCCAACGGCATTCAAACCTACATACACCCCTGTACAACCTTTGAGCTTACTGTGCAGTTGAGACATGACATTCTCTTTCAATTTTTGCTGCAACCTGGTGCGCTTCACACAGGATATGTTTTGTACGTTCACTATCACTTATCACCTACTTAATAGTTGCAAGCCAAGTGGCCCATCAGTCCAGAGCTTTTTCTGGATTCTCTAGAATGAAGCGACTAGGAGTATTTCCACTCTCCCTGGATAGGATGCTAGTCCATCACAGGGTTACCCCCAGCATTAAATTCGCTGGTACCCAATTGTACACATGGGTGGAAAGAGGTAATGTGAGGGTAAAACTTGTGTCTTGCCCAAGAACACAACACAATAACCCTGGCCAGGGCTCAAACCTGGACCGCTCGTAATGGAGACAAGTGCACTAACCATGAGGTCCCACACCTCCCATACAGGAACATACATACAGGAACATACATACAGGAACCTTACATGCAGATTATCTTACCACATCCACTTCGGTATTTGAGTGCCCCATGTTGCAAACTATGCAACCATTCTTCATTCTATCCATATGTTCTCTTGTGACAACATGTTTGTTTCCTGTTTTTACAAATACAATATCAAAATATTAACTTACAACAAGTTAGTCCTACAATAAAAATAAGGGCTTGTTTAGAAAGGGGGCTTGTAGCCAATGAAAAAAGAAAATGAGTGAAGATGAATAGCTTGAAATTTTTCTCAACTGAAGGGCTTAAGTAACGTAACAATCATATTTACAAGTTCGTATCAGAAATGTATTAATCAACTTTAGCTAAATACCTGTACATGTGATCAGGATGTCAATTTGCTTACAAACCATGTCAATCTTGACAACTCTAAAGCCATCCATGCTAAAGAAAANGGATCGCAGGCTCATGTCAGGTAATCTTGTTGAAAACAGGGCAGGATTGTTCAGAAGCCAGTAAACGCTAACCCAGGATTAAAAGTTAACCAAATTATAACATTTCTTCTATACAAATGTTTTGTGCTGCTTTGTTTTGTGTATATGGTGATTATGAAAACTCAAAACAGAAGGCCAAACAATATAAAGAAAACTTCACCGCAAAGTTACCAAACTCAAATCAAAATTCTACCTTTTCCTGAGTTAGCTCAATTGGGCTCTGAACAACTCGGCCCAGGAGCTACACTTTTAGGTTGGCCTAAATCTATATATTATGTCATTTGAAGTTTCTTACTAGACAACTATTGTCGGTGAAAACGGTATGACACACAGCGTATGCAATGATCTGGCACTCAAGGAGTTAAAATCACATGAATTACAGTACTGGTATTTATGGCTACATACCATGCCTGCAATGCACAGATGGGATCAATTTCTGCAACATAAACTATGGCACCCAGGCCTTTGAGAGCAGAACAGCAACCTTTACCAACCTGATAAAAATCATGGATACAAAATGTTGAATGTCATACCTTCAAAAACTGGCAAGTTTAGGCAAAGAGGGGTATTAGCCACAGCTTACTACACTTTGATCAGAAATGTGTGGCATAAATATAAATGCGCAAGAGGTTGTGGAAAAGCATGGCATGCAATCATGTGGAAGTGGTGAGTCAAATTCTTTGGTTACAATTCTTTCGAGTAGGAACGACATGTTAATCCTTGTGTTCTTTCAAACTGGATTGACTAGATATTAAGGCCAAAGAGGTTGAATATCTTTACCTCACCATATCCACACACAAGAACCTGCTTTCCACCAAACATTACATCTGTGGTTCTCTTTAAACTATGGAATAGAGAAGACAAAGTAGTACATTAAGTCAAATTTACGTGAGAGAAGATCATAATATTGCAATTTATACATGAGCTCATTGCATACATGTACAGAGAAAATGTAATTTACACAGTCAACCATCTGATAAATTAGACAATTGATCCAAAGAGCATTTCAGCAAAAAGTGAAAAAAAGAGCAGCCCATTGCACACTCTATTTCTCACTATGAATGCTTGTCTGTTGTCATGACAAAAATGTGTTTACCCAAAGTGAACTTTTAAAACATATATGTAACCTACTAACTGTTGATGTTAAAAAATGAGCACAAAAGTATACGTCAAGCCATTGAAACTTGCACAATTTAATTAAAATCCACTCAAAGAACTCTTTATTCAACAAAAACATGGTCTCACCCTTCTGTAACATTGTTAAATCATACAGATATTGAAGAGATGTAATCAAAAGTTACTTCAGTTGACTCATTCTTGTGTTAAAGTCATTAACCTAAGGGACCCTGAGGATAAACTAAATGTTCCATTGCTGCACACAAACTATAATTACAACCTTTAGCTATAGTGGCACCATTCTTTGGAACAGTCTTCCTTGTGACTTAAGAGGAGAGTCCCTGAGGTAGTTTAAATGCCTACCCAACTTAGGAGTCTATGTATAAGGCATAGCATTTGTGGAAAGCAGTTTTTTTATTTATTTTATTTTTGTTCTATTAGACATAAGGAATTAAATACATTAGGCAGTTTTAAGCTGAAAATTTTTAAACCATGCTTAAATAAAGATTATGTATGCATGTATTACTGCTGCAGTTCTTATACATACCTATCTAAGATTGATTCTCTACAGCAATACATGTTGTCAAACTTTGTCTGAAAGCAAAAATCATAATCTTAGTTAGTCACAAAAAATTTCTTTTTCAACACCATGATTGATTGATTTGCTATGCCTAAAAGAAAAATATTTTGACAAAGAAGCGAAATGAAAGAAACTCACCTTGGTAACTGAATCGTTAACATTCATGGCTGCAACTGTTAGTTTTCCTTGCTTGGAAAGCTGATACAATCTAACATGAAAACAGAGCAAGTCAAACAGAAAATTGATTGCTGTTTAAGTGTCTAAAGTTATATAGCCAACAGGGTTTTTGTATCTCCATAATGCATAAGAAAATATTCTAAGAAAAAAGTTTGGATCACGACACTAAAATCATCAAGTTTTAAAGTTCCGGCTTCAGCCACACCCAATGAAGTTGACCATGAGTCAATGCAGGGGTTTCATTAAGGTCCCGGCACAGGGCAAATTGACCAGCTGTGAAGACGAGTTTGTCCAGCTTGTTTGACCACCTAGTAGAAAGTTTTTCTTATAAATAATTTCAGATCAAATAGTTTTGCCCGCCTGTCAAAACCAGTTGCCCTGCTGCTGCTGAAAACATTTAAAGAAACCCCTGGAGTGCAAAAAAGATTTTGGGTTCCTGAATCGGTAGTGATGTCATGTCAGGAAGCACCAAATCCCCCTAGTTCATGTCACTGTTGTTCGAGCAAAAACACACCAAAGTTGGCCAAGTATACTGCAATCATCAAGCAGGCAAAATAGAAACACAAAGCCTCGAAATACTCCTGGAGTGATGTCACTCATTACCCAACTTTCATTACACAGTCAACTTCACTGGGCATGGCCAAAGAGGGCACTTTAAATCTTGATTTTGTGGTGAAAAAACGTCGGAAACCAACTTTTAGAATGTTCTTTAACTTGTCACAGACTGAGATACCAAAATTACAAAAACCCTGTTGGCCCTATCTATGGACACCCAAAAGCAATATATTAAAAAAAAGGGAAATGATCCCCAGCTAAGGGAAGTTATGTCCTGAGAGACATGAATGTAGAGCACATTTAATCAGTATCTCACCTGTGAACTCCTGTCACACTTTCCTCCACCACTCCACGCAGCGTGTTGAAAGTTCCGTTGAACTTCTTGTACAGCAGATGAGTTGCATCACCGCCATCATCCAGGACCATATTAGGTTGCCATTTATCAGATGTAATGCACTGCTCAATACACCACCAAAAGTCCTCCTCAGATTCTCCCTTCCATGCAAAGATGGGGTAACCTGGTGACCACAACAAACCCATGGCATTTTTCAGAATGCAGATACAGTGCATTTGCAAGATCTTTAAGATGTGGGAAAGGGTTCCATGCCCAGATTGGCCTCATCAGCCATCTCTGGACACATCATACCCAGTCATCCAACAACTGAGGTCATGGTCTTCTTCGATTTCGAAGGATGAACAACAAGAAAATAAATATTTGTGTGTGTGATGTGCAGATGTGTTAGTTAGTGACCAAAACACTCACTGTGAAATAACCAAAAACGAAATTGAACTGATTCTGTACCTTTAGAATTGCTTAAAATTGAAAGCAAAATGCACATAATTATAGTGTACATTGTCAGGTTAACTTTTTCTTTTCAACTTTCTGCTGCTTATGTCAACATAAATTGTTGTTACACCTGTATATGTTTATGATGGTCTTTATTTAATGCTCACCCCCACCCATATATCCCCATCAAGTTACACCCATTATCAACAAAACATCCCAGGGACACAAAAGAGGATTTCTTAAGTTGTCCACTAACCTGCCTCAGCCAAAGCAGCCGCAACTTCATTCTGTAGGAAAAGGTCAAAGAATTTGTTTCAATGTCTACATTTTACATGTATCGTGTCCAAGGTTCCTACTTAATGTGTTATAATAAAAGATTGATTTCTTTTTCCCAAAACAAGGCCGTTGCCAAAGAAAAATTTCAAAAACTTCTTCTCACTCCCAAAATTACAAGTTAGGAGCCTAGGTCGTTTTGTTAGGTCCCTCCTCCCCATAATTAAGAACAGTGGAGCCCAGCCCTACAGTCACATTATGGCCAAATTCTCATGACCCATTGGCGATTGTATTACTGGTGTTCTACTGTACATTCCTGCTGGTCGTTATCGCCACGAATCTAGCTATGATCGCCATATGGATCAAATAAAAAGGCTCACTGAATTTTCAATTGACTTATGATTGAACATCATTTTATGTGGGAAATAGGAGCTTCACTCACGCAGTTCACTGATTAATCAACAGCTTAATTCCTCTAGTGTCTTTCTCAAATTTTACATTACATTATGTTACAAAAGAACTTAAAGTCTACTATCTTTGTCCTTGCCCCTTGCATACATGGATATCAAACTGTCAGTGGAGTGAACAAAGAAAGCTTCAAACAGCTTACCTGTGTCGAGTAAATGTTACATGCAGACCAACGCACTTGGGCACCAAGGGCAATAAGTGTTTCTATGAGAACCTGAAAAACATGCCAACTTAATATAATTATATATCAGAGCCAAAAACAGTTTGACCCACAATATTATAACTAACTGACCATAGAAAAGTGTTATACATGCAAGGACCTTCCAAGAAATAATTATTGTAAAGTTTTGAACTTTTGTTTGCTTAACCCTTAGCAGCTACAACTAGTTTTGTTACACAGACCAACCCCTTCACCGAAATTCTATCTGTTCTAATCCTCGCCTGGGGTTGGAAGACTGTCATGTCCCTACAAAACTTGTTGTCAAGTTGAAAGTGTACTCACTGCGGCCTGCGCAGTTACATGGGTGCAACCAACAATTTTGGCCCCTTCTAACGGCTTGTCTGTGCAATTCCGCTTTCTCAATAGCATGAGCCCAGGCATTTCTACAAAGAAAATGAACCAAAGAAAGGTAAATATAGAACACTTATCAGCACAGTCAGTCTATTCATTTCTTCTATCCTGTAAATTACAGACGTCATACCCATTGCAAAAGCAATGATTAGAGTGTATTATAAGTTACTGGANAACAAAGGGAAACAGACATCAAACTGGTTTAAATAATAATAATAATAATAATAATAATAACAATAACAATAACAATAATAATAATAATAAAAATTAAACAAGAGCAAAGACTCCACATTATGATACTATAGCAGAAAGATTTCAACATAATATCATTCAAACATACTTTTCAATCTGACTGTCATATGCCGTGTTGTATGCTGGAGGTGTGCCAGTCTTTGTTGTAGTATACAAATTGAGTTCCGTGGGGTCATTTGCCAGGTTAAATTCTGCTTCAATCTGTCTATCTGATTTTGGTTTCTCCATTTCCATTAAATCTTTTCTCCTTCTCTGCCCAGCCCTTGCCCATGCAGGGACGCCAACCGTGTGGGGTGTCTTCTTAAGGCAAACTTGAGTTGTTGAAAGGTTACAAGCCAGAACTGCCCCTGTTAATGGATGAAAATACTCCTGCTAGCAATGATACTCTTTTCATTTACAAAACTCTATTTAAAAACATGTATATTTGCAAGATTAAAATGTTTAAGTCTTCACACAAGGAACTTCTTGAGTTGAGTACTTAACCAAACACTTTTCATAAGTAAATAAGAGGATAACAGTTGGCTTGATAGCTCAGCTGGAAGAGCACTGCACTGGTATTGCAGAGGTCATGGGTTCGAATCCTGTTCAAGCCTGAATTTTCTTCACGCTTTAATTTCACAGCTGCTTAAGTTGTGTCTAACTGCGATGATCAATCATGTCTTCACGTCTTTCTCTGTAGTTTAAATATATGATCTTTCGTATATTCATTTGTAAGAGGATAACAGTTTTGACTTGTGAAAAAATGATCCTGTTTGCATGTATAAACTCTGCTATCACAACAAACGTAAATGGCCCATATTGCCTAATAATTCAGGAATATGACACTGTTAGTACTCATTAGGGTTTTCTAATACAACCAATTTAATTCTAGAATTTTGTTATAAGTTTAGGGTGCATTTCTTTGGGATGATCTGGACCAGCAACAATGATCACTCAGATCATGGTGCATCAAAAAAATTTATGAATTCTTGCCCAGAGTGGATTCAAAAGTCACTTTGAAGCATCATGATCTGAGTGATCTTGGATTGTTGATCCTGATCAAGATCACCCCAAAGAAACCCACCTTTAGTTTTGTTGATAAGCCTAGACTATACTAATTAAAACTTATTGGTAATCAATAACAATCATAAATCATAACAATCGTTTCTATCACTTTTTTTCTTGGTTACGAATACCAATTATATTGTATCATTTTTTTTTCATTATTCTGTTTCTCAGCATACATTTCACAATTAACACCATCAATTAAACACCCCTGGCGGTGGCAACCACCACAGTTACAAAGATCTACCACAAGCTACGTTTTATGCAACTAAAGATCCTACGCTAACGATTTGAAAGATCCAAAATGACGAAGCAAATAAACAATTAAAAAAGCAACAAATTCCTGCAATATACCTTTCAATCCATTGGATTCCCTGGAATATTGACAAATTCTAGCCGAGAAACGCAAGTTACCATGATACAAACTTCTGCAGGCAGCCATGTTGGATTTGAGTATAGAGGGCGGTTACCTAGCTATGGTAAAAGGGTGCTTCATAAGAGTAGGGTAGGGATAGTTGTCTGTTTGGAATTTACCAATGAACTTCCACTTTACTGACCTAAATTTTTATTCGTGGCATAAATGACATATTTTTTCTCTGCTGTATGGTTATTGGAAATCTTTTTTGCTCAAAAATCTCCTTAATTTTTTTTGCATATATATGCAATTTCTGCTACCACCCCACTGGGGAAGGAAAGTGCGCAAACAAAGCGGGAATATTGTACTTACGCGAATCTGCACATCGACAAATTAATGTAATATTTTAAAATTTTCCTCGTTCGGTGTGATGTTCAACACCACCAGAGTTTTATTTATTAGTGATTCTTTGTGATGGGCCAGTGTTTTGGAACAGAGGACGGTGGATTTTTTAGCTTCAGGCAAAATCGAGGTTATGACCGCTTCACTCGTTTCGCTCCGAAAAGCAAATGGTAAGACGTGTTTAAAACTTTCATGGGTTGATTTTAGGTGCACATCATTTCAAGCTATTACGAAATCTTTATAATATAATCATAGCGTATAATCACAGGTTTAAATCACCGCTTAATGTGAAAACAGTTTTTATTTCGACATAATCGTTTGTTGTTTGAACTGCTGTTTTGTACTTTTCGGACAGTCCATCAAAGTTTTGGCATTTTAATGAGCTTTTAAGCTTAATTTAAGTTACTTATCGATAGTGTCACGAGAGTTTTGATGGAAGGTATATTCTGCCAGCAAAGATATTTTGTTGCCTTGACATGTTGGTTCTCAGAAAATGAAGAGTTCTAATGAATATTTCATGTATGTTTCATTTTCACTTGTTCAGGAGCGAGCTGTAGTTGACCAGTGCGGTCATGATCTGATTTTCATGCACGGATCATGTGTGTAGATGTAAGACTAATCTTTATTCATTGACAAGGAAAACTTTCGGATTTTAAAAGAAGTGAGATTCATGGATCAAACATTAGCTTAAGCCAAGAAAATTGCTTCTGAAAACTATACTGCAAATTATCTCCAAATTATTCACTGCTAAGCCGTTCTAAAGACTGCTCACGGTCAAATTAATAATTCGTAACTGTAACAAAAATTCTTGAATCTCATTGGTTATCAGNGCATTTGTGATACAATGCTAGTAGATTTATACTAAAACTCAATAGAAACATGGAGATCATGTTTTCTATTCCGTTTGGAAAATAGTGGACAAAAAAAGCAAATAACTTGTTTAGATCATCAAAAGGTAAATTCTCTTTACTCCTGCCATTATTACTTTAACAGCTCATGCTAGTTGTGTTTCTATCAAGTTTTATATGTATTATAAATCTACTAGCATTCTATCACGAATGCCGTGCTCTGATTGGCTACACTACTCACTGTCTATTCCATGATAGATAGTGAGTAGCGTCATAGTGTGCCATTGTTAACAAAATGACGGCCGCTTCTTGGAGTTTTTGAAGTTAGTGAAGAGGATTTAGATAAAGTTTTGAACGACTAGTACAATGTAGATTTATTTTCTATGCATGATAGAAATTTTGAACTCATAATCTAATTGCTTAATATAAACCAGTCAGTGGATGTGCGGTGGTCTCATGGTTAGTGTGCTTGTTCCCAGATCGAGCAGTCCAGGTTCGAGCCCTGGCCGGGGATGCTATGTTGTGTTCTTGGGGAAGACACTCTCACAGTACCCTCTCTCCACCCAGGGGTATAAATGGGTACCAACGAATTGTTGGGGAAACCTAACAAATTGCAGTGGAGTGACCTGCGATGGACTAGCATCCCGTCCAGGGGGAGTAAAGATACTCCTAGCCGCTTCGTGCTACAGAAACTGGGATAAGCTCCGGCAACCATGAGTCAGTTGGCTCCAAGGCATCATTTTTTTTTAATAAACCAATCAGCGTGCATATTTTCTTTGGGCTATTTACTACTAGATTTTGTTTGATCACATTTCAGGAGATACGCAGATGAACACTTGCTAACAGAGATACAAGATCCACGATCTGATGATGAACTAGATTTATCAGGTAGATAATTAAGGCTTGCATGATAGCTGGTTTTACTTGAATCCATGCCTTTACTGTTAGTATTAATATGGTTAAATTAACTCCAAAAATATGATAAAAAGTCTAAACCTGTCTCTGTGGTAGTCTGTGACCATCTTGTTTTGCTTACCACCTAATGCTCAGCAGTTTCACCATTCATATTTAGTGCTTGATGTTGCGACCGCTGGGTCACCAATGCAGCCAAATTTTTTTCACTGGGGACTAACTTTTCACGCTTTTCACTGAAATTCTTTTGCTGGTGACTAAATCTGTAAACTTAGAGGCCAGCTGGCCCCAAGGTTTTTTGCTGAAAGTCAAGCCCTGTATATATTTGTCCCTTCAACATGAGCTTGCTTGCAGGCTAAATCTGAAAGCTTCTTTTTGCCAGCATTTGATAGTTACTGTTTGTAGTAAATAATAATTATTACAAGTAAAAATATTGTAAATTTTCTTTTGTTTTAATTTAAGTGTGAGATGTTATAAATAATATGTATATAAGTAATAAATTTTTGTTTTCCATATATTTTTACAGCCATCATTGCTTTACAACAATAAGTTCAATTGAACCTTGTCAAATATTATACCATCACTGTCATAAAAAATCTTGTTTATATGCTTTATGGGTGGCCTGGCTGGACTGATCTGTAGTTTTGAAGGATGAGAATTATTACTAATCCCTTGTACATGTCACAAATAACAAGACTTAACTACGTGTTGCACTATTTTTTATGTCTATGTTCATAGATCTAAGCCGTCAAACAGTCCATGGATTACATCCAAGACAAAATGTCAGAGGACCATACACATCAAATAACACCACAGGATTTAAGCAAGAAAGGTATTATTAAGATAAGTAGACGTATTAATCTTACCAAATTTCAAATTTTATGGCGTTGTCAATCATTTGAGTATGAAGGTATGGGTTGAAGTGGGAATTGCAAGTCCCATGTTGGCCAGTCAGTACGGAAGGAAGTTTCTCCCGCTTAAAACTCCACCACCCTCATTTGGTTTTTCATTTGGAGGTACTACCGGTATTTCCTAGACTGGGGGCAACTGGCACCTGTTTCAGGAACCTCATATTGCCATAGAAGTGCTACACCTCTACACTTTTATCACCGATCACTTTGTACTTCTTCTCTTACATGTACATATAAAACAGTGGCGTGTTAATTACCATGGTTACCAACAGTTTTTGGTCTGTTGTAGAAGTGTTTATTCAACCCTGTGCCTGAACGCATTCGTTGACGATCATTTCCACATAATGAACTCTTGGCTCCACAATCACACATCTCTAGATAACAAACCGTCCAGCTCTATGATCACACATTTCTAGTTAATAGAGGAACAAGTACAAAGTGTCAGTGGTAAAAGCGTAGAGGTGTAGCATTCTATGAAAATTTCTATGCCTATTGAAGCTTCATAAGACAGGCTGGGTATAACTAGGGGAGGTGTGCTGGCCTCATGGTTAGTGCACTCATCTCTGGATCGATTGGTCTGGGTTTGACCCTTGGCCAGGGACTTTGCATTGTGTTCTTGGGCAAGACACTTATTAAAATAAATACCTTCACAGTGCCTCTCTCCACCCAGTTGTATAAATGGGTGCCAGCAAGCTTCATGCTTGGGGGATAAACATTCAGTGGACTAGCATCCCATCCAGGGAGGAGTAGAAATACTCCTAGTCACTTCATGCTACAGAAACCATGATAAGTGCTGGCCTGATGGGCCACTTGGCTTGTATGCAGACTTTACCTTCACCTTCAGTTGCCATTTCCCAGACCAGCCACCTTCACCCAGCTTAATGTCTGCTTCAACACAAAGACTCCTGAGGCTTGGGTTGCTAAACAGCAAACCTAGGATTTTCATACACCATTGCATAGGTCATGTGTATGCAGTTGTACTCATTGGAGCGCCTTTTCTCTGCTTATCATACACTGGAATCCCAATTATTTATCTGAACCTTGATTTCTCAAACCTCCCAATAACTTGAACCAAAAACATGTTTGGATTTGTTTCACAATAATTTTCACCCAGGTACCTGAATCTTCCTATGGGATTCACCTATATTTAAACCTCCAAATGCACTAAGGGAGAATGTTGGAAATGACCTCGGCCATTGGCCCAGGTGGCTTCCACCCCTACACTCCCTCCTTCTACTCCCTCCTGCAAATTGCATGAGAAAAAAATTATTTGATTACNTCATACCCATTGCAAAAGCAATGATTAGAGTGTATTATAAGTTACTGGAATGAGATACGTACTGGGTACAAGGTATAAAATGTTAAGGTACTGTACATGTATTTACCATTTGCATGGAATTTCACTGTGTTACATGTATTAATATTTCATTTTTTTGATTGAAATATAATTTTCTGGTACACTGTACATGTATGACAATGTGGTCAAAACATAAAATCATAAAATCCTACGGTTTCCAGCGATGCTACGGTTCATTATATTTAACCATACCATTTCACAATTGAAAACTTCATTATTAAATAAATTTCTAGGCTTCAGATCATGTTCGAAGACTCTTAAAAATCATTGTTATTCTAGAAGTCCCATGCAAATAGCAGACCAAGTTTAAATTATGTATGGCAAAATATAACATCCCAAATCAATAGGCCAAAGTAAAGAATACAATGCACACATCACTAGTGAACAATGCAAAATGGACTTGCAACATTCCAACATTATTCTTACTATCATTATGTGGTAAACAGGTGTACAGCATTCTTTTGCCTTGGCCAAAAGTACTTCATTACATTTTTATTTTGAAAAATTCCTCTCAAATACAACCTTGTACATGTAAGGTGTTATAATGACTTACACCCTGTGAACAGACGTTCTCGGTTAATTTACGGTTTCGTAGAAAAAGAGTCAGATTGACTCACCAAAGCAAACAACTGCTAACTATAATCATTGTAAAGGCAAAGAACAATAAGACATTGCTCTGTGAATATTTCCAAACAATTCATTATCAAAAACTATTTTTTTGTCTTGCTGATTTGTTCTTGAAAAGTAGTGCACAGCTCAAAAATCAACTGAGTGATTGAATAAAAAAGCTGCTTTTGATTGATTAAAAAATAAATACAATAAAAAAGAACGCTGTTCACAGGATAGCTAATGCTGATCAATACAGAAAGGTACCCATACATGAATTCTGAATCAAGAAAATAATAGTAGGTGGAAAATCAAAAGCAATTAGACATCAGGAACATCAAATGATAGGTTCACCACAATTCAAGTTCTCTGTTAAGAAACAACTGTTGTTAATTTGTTAAGGAGATATCACTGAGTCCCTCAAAGACAATACAAAGTTCCGCTTGCCTTGTTCCGCTATTTCAATTTCCCTGCGACCAAAGTCAGCCAGCTTAATATTCTTAACACAAAAATCTGATCCACCACTGCTGTTTTTCTGCACATAGAAAATGGATGTATTACACTCTGTTTTAACACTAATGATTAGGATGCTCTTGACATACAATTAAATGGAGTTAAAAGAATGAAGTGGTCTCCAGCACAAGTTTTTACAGCAAGCAAGAAGTTAACAAACAGATACCAAGAAAGAAAAGTAAAATATACTGTTGGTATGTGACTTGGATTTTAAACAATTTTAAATGAAAAGATTAAAAAAAAGGTATGTGTAGAAATGTTGCAAATGGTTAGACTAGCATACTTATTTAGCACTGAAACAAGGAAGCACAGAAACAGCTCATAAATAAACAAATGTAGAAGAGCCTTATTCAAAAGACGGATTATTGATCAGAAACATAACTAGATTCTTGACAAATGTAATAATCAGCCTATATGCTTTTTCTTCGTAAAATTTTGAGGACACCACTTCCATTCCACTACATACCAACATCATCGGACAGCTCAGTTTCACTATTTCCAGGAAATTGCCATACCCACCTCAGCAAAGGTCAGTGGAAATACCAGACAGGAAGGAGGTTTCAAAAGCCATTGAAGCTTTTAACCCCTTGAGTGCCAGACCATCGTGTATGCTACATGCCACACCATTTTTACTGAAAATGGGTGTCTAGTAAAAAAACTTTGAATGCCATAAGCTTTTCTCACTTAAACTACAGATAATTTATCTGAAAGGTCGTAAAATTTTATCTTCAATGTGGTTAATTTTACTGAGGTTGACGTAATTTGATATCCATAATGACGTCACAGCAATCGGAAATTAGACGACTCTTGAAAAACCTCCCATAAATCAGGTGCTGATAAAAGTTGCTTCCGGTGTGCCCGGAGTTTGACTTAATCTCTTAAAATTTTGACCTGAAGAGCAAACATCACAACATACTGAGTACATCATATAGGCACTCAAGGGGTTAAAGGAAGGAATGAAAGTAAACAAGAATTTCCAGTGGGGTGGAGGAGAGGGGTTCAAACCAGAAAACCTGCTGGGAGAGGGTTGTGGACATTTCCTGGAACAACAAATTATTGTTCAATGAGGTGCAAACAAGTTATAAGGCATTCTGGCATCTTACATTGTTTAATTCCTTGATTTCATTTATAGGATTTAACAACAACCTGTCATATTTTAGTATAGATTTAGCCTACACTCAAGGCATACACCTGAATAAAGTGTGGTATTTCAAGTTATTTATGTGAGTAATGACAGTGCTAACTTAACTGTAATTTTAAAAAGAGAAAGCACTCTACTGCAAAGATATTAAGCTGTAGTCAAACCTTACAAAACTAGTTTCAAAACAAGTTAACCTTTCCTACACCTCAGACATGTTTACATTCATTAGTACAAATAAGGATTCTTTTGTGGAATTTAAAGATTAAAATTAATCCCAAAACAGCTGTTCTCAGCTAAACTGACACTGTTTTTAATTCTATCTTATTTTGTCATTATAAATAATTGCAAAGTTACTCCCAGAGGTTTCCTTTCTTCTGTTTTCTTCCCAATCTGAATCAAATTTGGTCCAAAAAACAGCAACAAAGAGAAAAGACACAAGTTTTTGCCTGACTAAAAGAAACAAAACCTCTAAAAGCAATGCATTGCACAGTCATGATCATTCATACAGGAATTTAAACCAATTTGTGTGACATTTAATCAACTGTGAAAGTTTCCATAGTTTCATATTAGCCACAAAGCCCAAAGTCCAATGAATTCACTACTCATTAGCATTTACTTTAGAAGACTTGATTACGCTCTATCCATTTACTCTTTCAAGGCAGTAAGGCTTCTCTAATAAACACTAGTCAAGGAGGCTGAAGAGCCAGCCTTCCGTTGGTCAAACAAAGTTCAGATTTTTTAATTTGATAATTTACTCAAGTTGGTTTTAAAGCCGGCCTTACGTAATATTATGACGTCAGATATTGCTTAATAGTTTAGCTGTCACACTTGGACTAGCTTAAGAAGTTGTACAAAATTGTCTGAAAATCGCTATGATATTTTGACAAAGGAAAGCATTGTGTGTTTTAAAGGTACTAAAATTTGCAGTAGCGAAGTTTTTACAAAGTAAACTTAAAATGAAACATCCACAACAATTTTAATTTATTTCCACAAGTGTCACGATTCGATTCACATATTTTCCTTGATCGTCAAGATCTTTTATGAATCGCTGTTATTTAGACCAATGCCATTCCCGTTTGGTGCAGCTAGGAAATGAGTCATTAAAACACACACACGCTAAGAGCTCTTCACAATACCAATGCAATATTCGACCACACGAATCAAATTGAAGAAGGTTTAGCTCACTCGGCCATGTACAAAGTTTATGCATACGTTATTAGCAAGAAGCCATTAGAAGTAAAATTGAAGGCTAAGGAGAGGCGAAGAAAAGTAGAGTTAGAGGAAGTAAATTATGTTTAAGACAGAAATAAACTTGACTACAGACCTGAGATCTTTCCCTTGGAGAAACATCGTCTTCGTCAGATGAGTAACTATCGGAATAGCTAGCTGTAACAGAGGGCGAATATCGCACGAGTAAATAACATGAACCAAAAACAAGTTATTATTTCAAAAAAATATATCATCACCAAGGCAAGGGTTCAAGGCAGGGGATAACCTAGTAATCCAAAAACGCTGTCACAGAAAATCAAAGTACAGTTTTAACGATATTAAAATTTGAAAATAAAAGTGAAGGACGGACGATGAAACACATCCATGGAGAAGTACAAACAGAGAACACTGCGCCTATATCAACCCTGAAGAATGGGAAATTTCAAAGACCGAAATTTCGAGCGGCATCAAAGACTTGTCGAGAAAACTTAAAAAACTCATTTAACGGTGTAAATAGCATGCTTGCTTCACCTGAGCTCCCATAACTATCGGTCGATGACACCGAAATTGAGCGCCTTCGAAGGCGAGGGGGTCGTCTCGACATGCTTTCAGAAAAGCTTAATCCCTAGGGTATAAACGCAGCAAAAATCAGCAACACATGTCAAAACGCATTGAAAAATGTTAAACACGAGCGGCAAAAACCTCTAAAGCCTTGAGATGAGGCGGTCTTTGTGCTGCAGCCGCAGATTTTTGGACACGATGATCACCTTCCGAAGCCGCCATGATTATAAATATATTGTAGAGCAAATGGCCTACACAGCGGCGTGGGGTCGAGGCGACCAATCACGAAATAGGACAAAACGGGAAAAAAAATTCCCGTCTTGGTTCGTCACAATCGCAGATTCCTGGCGTTGTTCACTCTGGCACAGTAAAATTAAGATTTGGAGAGTTCACAAAAACTTCATTTAAGCACCTGGCGGCTAAAAGCGGAAGTTTGATTTTGTTTCTGAAGGATGAACCGGAAGATGTGTATACCAGCACACTGCCCATAGTCCGCTGTCTGCTACCAGAAATGACATCAGATCGACATACAGGAAACGCCACGGGTGTAAAGGGAAGCCTATTTCTCTGTAAAAGGAAGTTTCTTTTAACAACCTTTGGGAAACATGCGCTTAAGATAAGACGAGGGCTTTGCCTAGAACTGCCGGCATGTCAAACAGATCAAAACCCACGTAGCAAATCCACGTGGTTCGGCATGGCACCAAAGAAATTTCAGAGCATTCAGAAATCGATATCACCATTGCGAGCATTTTCAAAGGTTAAAGTTCTGTTGGCAAAAAGGGTACAAACAATAGCAAATGTAAAATAGTCCAAAATTTAAATGGCAATCTATCAACTGGGATTGAAAGTTGAAAAAACACTAGCACGTTTTCGTTTGAGAACGGTTGCACTTTTTATTCGTTTAACCTAGATACCATATAGAGAAGGATAAAAAATCTCAATCTTTATTTTCGAAGACGGTGTCGAAACACTCACAAAAGCGCAGACTTTTGAGACTTTCTTAACCTACTTTATACATAAAACCAGAGCTAGCTAGCTAAGAATTGGCAAGGTTAGGGTCCAATATTCACGATTTGCAACAAATCATGATAAATTGCTCCAAGGAGGTGGTTTTTTTGTTTATATGAAATTAAGAGAAATTTTAATGTTGAATGACGTCGTCGAATTAGTCCATTTACAATTTTGTCAGCTTCATGGTGAGGAAATATTTTGCGACATTCTTGGCACAAAAATAAAACTGGAACAAAAATGTATGTTATGAAAGTGTTTAAATATGAACGAAATAGATTCGGCGTGGTCAGCGATTTTCTTTTTTAACTTTTCTTTTTTGTCAGTCTTTCGTTTTGTCAGTTAGGGCAACAGTCTGCGTGATTTCGTCGCTGATTTCTTAAAAGCTTCTGTCCTAGGAAATGCTGATCAGGTCTTAGTGAGCCTCTCAATTCTTGCAACTAAAAGCTCAGTGACTTCTTGTGTCAAAAGAAAAACGATATTTAACAATTATTCCACGA